GCGCACCGCCTCCCCACACAGGGCGGCAGCGGGTGCGGGCCCGGGGGTCCGAGAGGGGGGCGGCTCTCCGTTGGTCTCGATTCCCAGCGACGCCTCTCACCCACGGGCGTTCACTCACCTGACCTCCCACTGCCGCCCCCCGCCCCTGCCTCTGTAGCGGGGATGCTGCTCGCTGGGCTCCTGCCCTGTTTGTGTTCGGGGGATGGGGGCCGGCGTCCCTTCTTTCCCTCCCTTCCCGCTCCCCATGCCCTCTCCACTGGACTGGCCGCAGCAGCAGGTGTGGCCAATGGATGGGGCTGCTTGGCCCCAAGATGCCCCAACTGCCTGTGTCTCACCAGGTGGCGCACACCCTCTTTTCTTCCCGCCCACCTCCCTGGCCCCTGCACGAGCCTGGGCGGCCCCCTGAAGGGCACAGGAAGGCCGGCAGGAGGGGTTTGAGCCCCCTACCCCGCCTGCTCCCATTGTAGGCCTCAGGTTTCCCCTCCTCACCTGGGGCGCTACTGCGCCTCCCGGATAGTTACGGGATCCTGTACAAATGCCCATCCTTGCCCATTTCAGTGTTTGTGGTTTTTACTGGAAGGATAGGAGAGTTACAGGGCTCAGACTTAAAGTGACAAGCCCCCGTTTAAGAAGTAACCTTGTGTAGTGGGCTAAATTCCTGCTTGTGCATAAAGGGTATTCATGAATGGAAAAGGCCTGACGTTGTATTGGAATGATCTGTAACAAACCTTCAGTCAGTTTCAAGATTAGTTTCCTCTTGTGGGGTTCCTTTAAAATCATGATTTTCCCAATTAGTTCAGTATCTGAATAATTTATTTCTAAATACATTCCACCCTTCTGGAAAAGGGTATGTGGCCGTCCTTGATTTCAAGAAAATCTCAGCTGCTTTGTCTGTGAGGTGGCCCGTTCTTTGTCTCACTGCTTCACTAATAAACTCACTTTCACTTAAAAAAGAAAATCTCGCCCTATCAGGTGAATTTGGGCAGATTTAACTAGTAAAAATATGCAGGGTGTCCCCCCAAAAAATGTATACACACTTGAAATAATTAATTCCAATGGGTTAAATTTGAAAAGAAAGAAACATCAGTTGAGCTATCAGCTGTTAAAGTATGTATACATTTTGGGGACATCCTGTGTATTGCCCCATAACATTCCCTAACCAGAAGGGAACTGGTTCGGACTTAGCTGTCCCTACCGTTTGAATAGAAGCTTTACTCCAAG